CGGAGGCTCTTGCTGTTTGCGAGTCGCCAATAAGCAGGTCCTGACAGGCGGGTCCCAAGCGAGCGATTTGCTCCAAGGAAGACTTGTGTTTGGCTGAATTCTCGTGTGTATATGTGTGTGCGTGGGCATCTGTGTATGTGTATATGGGTGTGCGTGCATCAGTTGTGTGTATGCATCTGTGTATGTCTATATATGTGTGCATGCATCTGTGCATATGCATGTGTGTATATATGTGTGCGTGCATATGTGTATGTGAGTGTGTGCATCTGTATGTGCATCTATGTATGTGTGTGTGTGTACAGGTTTCCCTCGCTTTTTGCTGTACGTGCCTTCCTGGAAAACTGCGCATATCTCGAATTCACATAAGGGGAACCTGCTTTACAATGTAACAAAGAGGGATACGTTCCAAGACCTCGACTGTGCTGACCCCCAGACCCATTTCTACCACTTTTACAAGACAATGTTGGTACTCACCAACAGCAGACAGTCTGCACAAGCACAAGGCACTATCGTAATGGGGATGGTAACGACAGAAATGTGTCACAGACAATGAGTGAGGAGCACAGGTCCACACAGGAGACTAGATTTTGATGCACGGCACTCCCACAATGTTTCGCACAAAGCAGCTGACTGCGGGCTTCCACCACACTGGTCGCATAAGAGTGTATTTACCTCGCATATAACGAATTTTGGTATAAAAAGACTCATCGCATAAGAGCGAATTCACACATACAAAACCTGCTTAAAGCGAGGGAAACCTGTATCTGTGTATATCTGTGTGTAAGTGTGTCTGTGTGTATCTGTGTATGTGTATATGTGTTTAATGTATGCATATATTTATAATATCTGTGAAGAATAATAAGTTTTATCAGGAACAACAAGTATAACAGATTTATTCAGCTCTTAATAAGATGACATATCTTTAAAAAGGTACAACTTTTTCTGAAGGATTATTTAATTATATGAAGCACTATGTGATAGATTGAACATAGATACACAACTAAGCTTTCTAGTTTTATGAACTTTGTATTGTTTTCCAGTCAATTCATGATTCAGGGTTTCCTGCTACTAATCCAGGTATTAACAGTAATTCTGAAGGTACATTTAAAACTAATTGAAAGTAAATTGGAATATGTTATTCACATATTTAAGAATTTTTGCCTTTATACTTTCAGTATTCTTGTTAATAGGCTCATCTCTAACTTGCTAAAGCTTTTGCCAGAAGATTTCTTCTACACTTACATGAAAAGCATGCATATGCAATAAAAAACATAAGCTAGTATCTGAGATCTGTATGGTTGCCACTTCACCCGTATTTTTAAAATGTTCTCAATCAATCAGTTCAATTTATTGAGGATTCTGGCTAAAAGCCATGCTCCCCAAAACAACATAACAGACATACAACCATAATATAATTTAAACAAAAATAACAGAAATGCAAATATAATAATAAAATGGGGCCAACCATTATAGAAGCATTATTCCTGCTCCTAGAATTAACATAATCAAATACAAATATGGTGATAAATCAGATCATAAAGCTATAAAAATGTTGTGCATAGGTCCACAATTAACACATTAAAAAACAAATATAATGATAAAATGTATTGGTCATATCAACAGTAAAGAATATTTAGCGCCAATCGCTTCAGCCTTGTAAGCAAAGATTGCAAGATGATTTACTAAATATAGATCTGTTTGCTGGAGAAGCCATATTCATTTCTATGTATTTGAGAAGTATGTGAATGTCTGCAAGAACAGTGATAAATACTTTCTTCTTATGTCGTTATATAAGGGACATTCTAAGACATAATGAATAGTGCATTCCAAAACTCCTAGAGGCTGGGCAACATCTTTTAGCCCTCAGAATTGAAAGTCTACGTCCAGCCAAAACATCCGTGGGCATCTGGTCAGTCCTGAGTCTAGTCAAAGAGATTCGCCACTTATTGTTGAGAGCCAGCTGTAAATACCTTTCTCCCCCTGGTCTAATTTCCAAAGAATATATAGAGGGGCCATGTGTGCATTCTGCCTGGCAATATCTTGGAACCTTTGGAAAACCCAGAGCTTTTCTATGGGGGAGAAGAGTCTTCCATTGTCTTTGACACAGTGTCCCATCCTGGAAAATGCAAAAGTGCGGGGAAAAAAAGCTAGCCAGAGAGATTTAAGAGAAGTGGGATTATTGATGTCTTCTATATAGCACAATTTGAGCAAGCAGGACAGTAGAAGAGGCAGGATTTTAAACCAGAATCCCGCCATTCTAATAATAATATTAGTTAAAATGCAATCTAATCCCATCTCAAATATCAAGAAGGATGCGGGAGGTGAAAGAGGAAGACCCAGAAGAGCCCAGAGAATCTTATTCTGAGGTATGTCTACATCATTACTGGCAGCATAGGCCCATACGTCAGCACCGTACAGGATCTGAGACACACCTTTGGTTTTATATGCTAATGTGTGTATATATGTGTGTATGTGTATCCGCGTGTGTATTTGTGTATGTGTATCATTGGCAGCCATCAGTCTTGGGAGACCATGGAGATTGTGTCTTCAGTGGGTTAGTAGGTGCTACCACAGCTTCTTGAGTGGCTAAGTATATATGTGTGTATACATGCATCTGTGTATCTGTATTTGTGTTTCTGTTTGTATATAAAATATAAACATATACCATAGAAATACAAATATTTTTTTTTATTGAAGGCTTCATGGATACAAGCACATGAGGGAAAGTGGAAGGAGTTAAATCACTTTAACAGTAATATACAGGGTTATACACTAAACCGCAACAACTCTGCTAATGGGGTAGTGAATATCCCAAGTTACTCTTACCTGGACTGTACTAGTCAACTCCGGGGATGTTTACAGATGAAAAGCAGTAAAAGAACATTTGTTTTGTCCATGAAGATCTGAAAGTTGGGTTTTATTGCCATCACTTTTTATATGTTTTTGTCTCAGGGCACTAAGGTGCCTGCTCCTTTAAGGACTGAAACTGCTAGGGAAAGAGACCTAGCAGTCAGTCAGGAACCCCTCAGCTGCAAGTTACCACCGCCACAGGGAGGGAATTAGCCCACTCATGCCAGCAGTCAGCTGACCGGAAGAGCCAGGGCCTGGGGCACATATAAACCCCAGGGCTGGGGCCAGAGGTGCAGTTCCCTGTCAGCAGCTAAGGGGGAAGGAGCTTTCCTAGAGGAAGCTGAGTGAAGAGGCTTGACGGCCCATCTGCTTCTGGTAAGATTAAGGGACTTTAGCTGCTCCCCAGACCCTGGCCTCCAAGGCACATTGTGCTGGGGGGAGGGTGATTCATTTAAACGGACAGAGCATACCTGGAGCTGCTTGCATTATGTTATAGCCCAGGGGCTTGTATTTTGACTTCCGTTTGGAAACGGGTAGATTGGGCTGAGGCTATTGGGGAAGGAGGAGGCTTCACGGGGGACCCACTACAGTGTAGGTGCAGAGAGAGACAGGGCTACGGAGAGCCCAGTGACAATCAGAGGCCAAGTGAAATTAAGGCCTTGGTGGGACGCTGTGTGAATGCCATCTGCGAGGCTTGGGGTGTGGTAAAGGAGCAGTTTGGAGCCATGCATCTAGCCCATAAGGCTGAGGGTGTCCCAAGACATCCATTTTGCAGTGGGACCCAAAAGGGGGTCCAAGAACACACAGGGTTCAATGGGGTCCATCAGGACTGTGTTTAAACAAATTTGAGGGCAGCCTCCCTATTTATTATAGTTACACCAAGATGTGGCAGGCGAGAAAAAGGGTGCCCATTGGGCCGAACTGGCACAGTCAAGGGGCCCTTGTGGCCCCACGGCCATCCTGGGGGGACCCTGTCCTGTGGCAGTTTTCTTCATCTGTTTCAGTTGTATTGTATCAGTGCCATTCCACACAATTTGCATAACATTCAAATCCTTAAATGTGCTGCAAATCAACCAAAACACAGGCTGTTTATGTAAAATGTCAGTTTGCCAGTATGCTGACTGTAGGTGTTATATGGTTCAAGACCCCTTCCAAAGGATTGCCAGCCTACTGATGGCGACAGGGTGGAACCTAGGTTAGGTTGCCTGAGCTGTCTGTATGGTCCTTTCCTGCCATGACTTTGCTGTGACTTTCAGGATGCAGTTCCCTGTAGGAAACCTTCCAGGTCCGTTACCCTGTTCTCTTCATGGGGCGCCAAACCTTCCCTTTATCCCGCCCTAACCATGTCCTGTCTCTGATGAGGATGGATGTTGTAGAGACTTCATAATGGCTCTAGCAGTGCGTATATTAACAGCAACCCTAATGGCATCCTGCCACTTGACTGGTCCTCACCCAGGCCTTGGCCATTCTCTATGCCGAGCTACAAAGTTCGAGGCTTAGAAGTCAAAGTATAGTCCTGGGTATAACAAGTGCAATAGTCAATACAGCAGTGGCTGCAGCTGTTGCTGGATAGCCCCATTGCCATGAGAATAATTATCCTTCTCCAACAGGGGTCCCTCTAGGGCCACTGCCCTCACGTGCCCTTGTCCTGCTGCTTGAGGCCCCTTTTTATCAGTCCTACTGGGCTTCAGCAACCTTCATCCCTTAATTGTAGGGTTGGGTTGAATGATCTGGGACTTCCTGCTGCCCCTGTCCTCTTGGTGTGTATGGTCTAGGTCTGAGGGATATTCTCCATTCCGGTTGCCTATCTCCATTCCCACATCAACTGGTGGTCTGGTCCTGTGGTCAGTG